GGGACATAAAGGAAAGAATAAACAAATGAGACCTAATCTAATTAAAAAGCTTCTGCATCGCCAAAGAAAACAGCATTAAAATGAAAAGAGAACCAACCATATGGGAAAACATATTTGCCAAAGATATCTTGGACAAGGGTTTGATCTCCAAAGTATATAAAGAACTCATAAGACTCCACTCCAGGAAGACAACAACCCAATTAAAAGGTGGGCAAATGACTTGAACAGAAACTTCTCCAAGAAGGACATACAGAGGGCCCAGAGACATATGAAAAGATGCTCAGCATCACTAGCCATTAGAGAGCCGCAAATTAAAACCACAATGAAATACTACCTCACACTTTTGAGAATGGCTGTCATAAACAAATCAACAAACAAGTGTTGGAGAGGTTGTGGAGAAAAGGGAACCCGAGTGCAGTGCTGGTGGGAATGCAGACTGGTGCAGCCACTGTGGAAAAGAGTATGGAATTTCCTCAGAAAACTAAAAATGGAACTGCCTTTTGACTCAGCAGTTCCACTGCTGGACTATATCCTAAGAGCCCCGAAACACCGATCCAAAAGAATCTATGCACACCAATGTTCATAGCAGCACATTTTACAATAGCCAAGTGTTGGAAGCAACCTAGGTGCCCATCAGTAAATGAGTGGATTATAAAACTGTGGTTCATTTACATAATGGAATTGTACTTAGCAGAGAGAAAGAAGGAGCTCCTACCCTTTGGGACAACATTGATGGAACTGGAGAGCATTATACTAAGTGAAATAAGCCAGGTCGTGAGGGACAAATATCATATGATCTCACATTTAACTGGAACATAATCAACAAAAGAAAAAAGCAAGAAAAATATAACCAGAGACACTGAAAGTAAAAGCAATCTGACAGTAACCAGAGGGGAAGTGGGAGGGGATAATGGGGGGAAGAGTTTTCAGGAACCACTATGAAGGATACATGGACAAAAACAAAGGGGAAAGTGCAAAGAAGGGAGGGAGGGGGATTTGGTTTGGGTGGGTGGAGCAGTTGGGGGGAAATGCAGACAACTGTAATTAAACAACAATAACAATTAAAAAAATTAAAAAATCGATTATTTAAATTCACCGTTCTCTCTACTGAATTCTCATTGCAATATTTATGAATATCTATTTGATACTTCCTATTTACTATTTTTGTTTTGACATTTCTTGTATATATTCTGTTTGTCAATAAGGCTATCATTTCTTTGAAAAGAATTTATGTCTTAAATGTTTGACATCCCTCAAAATGCTTTAGCTGTCTCTCTGAAACTATTAAGTGGATGTTCCATTTTTTTTACTTAAGTTAAAAAATAGTGAAACTGCTTGTAGATAGTTTGGGTTTCCTTTTCCATCAAGGCTCACTCATTCCCCTCATCCCATATTTTAGTGTTAAGAGAGAATTCTGAGAAGATGGCAGAGTAGGTAGCACTAGGACTCTATCTACCCAACTAGACAATGATTTCAATGGTAGAATCTGCTTGATGTAACTATTTGGAACTCAGGAGTCTACCAAATACTTGAAACTTCCAAGGGAAGACTCTGACAAGTAAATGTAATTTCAATAAATTTCAGCTCTTAGGAAAATAGGAGCTACATATCCTTCACCGCCTACAATGGATCAGGCACCCGTGTATGTGTTCTTGAAGCAGCTTGAAGTAAGTTGATGGGTAAAAATGTCCTGTTGTACAAATATCAGGGGTCTGCACTCTGATCACTGCTTCTGGTCACAAAGAAGTGGACAAAAAGATGGGCAGTTATTGTTGTGGCATCTCCTCCCCTTGTAGTATTCCCTTTTCTCCCCACCTGAAATTATTTTCAGGGAATTTAGAGATCCTGCATCCTTTTCTCCCTACTTCATATTTTGCTTTTCCTCTCTCAGGAGACAGACATAAAAACAGGGATATTTAAAACACAACGGCATGTATATGGAATACTAGAAATTGAGTGCATGTGCCCATGGAAATGCTCTGAAACAACCTGAATAGACTTTCAGTTTACATCTGAGGCTGATCCTCAGCACAGAGATACCCTACAGCAATCAAACATACAAAAAACAATAACAAAAAAGCAGTAAAGCCTAAGAATAGCAAAGGAGTTGATTTCTAGAGTTACCACATTATTAGATTTAAATATGCAGTATTCCACAAAAACAAAATCAAAAGGCATGCAAAAAAGAGGAATGTATGGTCCATAAAAAAACAGACTGTCCCTAATAAAGCATGATGGCAAATTTACTAGACAAAGACTTCAAAATAACTCTCTTAAAGATGCTCAAAGAACAAAATGAAGTAGAGAAAGTCAAGAAAATGATGTTTGAACAAAATTGAAATATCAGTAAGATAATATAAAAGCTAAAAAAGGTGAAAAAAAATCTGGACCTCAGAGGTACAATAACTGCTATGAAAAAATCACTACAGGGATTAAAGGCAGATTTGAGCAGGCAGAAAAAAGAATCACTGCTCATGAAGTTAGGATAATGAAATTTATTCTGTCTGAAAAACAAAAAGAAAACAGAGTGAAGGAAATTTAACAGAGCCTAAGGGACCTGTGAGATACTATCAAGTGAACCAACATACTCATTGTGGGAATCACAAAATAAGAAGAATGACAGCATGGGAAAAAAATATATATGAAGAAATCATAGCTGGCAACTCCTCAAATTAGATAAAAGACATAAATATAAACATCCAAGAACTCAATGACCTCCAGGCAAAATGATTTCAAAGTGACCCACACTAAGACATAATGCAGTTGACTCTCCAAATCTGCAGATTTCACAAATATGGATTTAACCAACTAAGAATTCAAAATATTCTTTTAAAAAAAGTACAGATTTTTTCTTGTCATTATTTTATAAACAACATGACAACTATTTACATAGCATTTACATTATATTAAGTATTATAAGTAATCTACAGATGAAGTATACAGGAGGATATCCATAGGTTATATACAAACATGCCTTTTTATATGTGAGAATTGGATTGGTATCCACAGGGGGATACTAATCTCTTGTGGATACTAATCTAAGGACTACTGCAATCAAACTTTCAAAGACTAAAGACAAAGAGAGAATCTTAAAATTAGGAAGAGAAAAATGAATCATCACATTCAAGGGATACTCAATAAGATAATAAGCAGATCATGAGAAACTTTGGAACCCAGAAGACAATGGGCTGCCACACTAAAAATGTGGGAAAAAAAATCCTTTAAACCAAAAATATTCTATCCAGCCAAACTGTCCTCAAAAGTGAAGGGAAAATAAGACAGTCCCAGGAAAACAAAAGCTGAGGGAGTCTGTGGCCACTAAAACTTCCCTTCAAGACATTCTTAAGGGAGTCCTCCAAGGTCAAATAAATGGACAGTAGAAAGTAACCTTGAACCAAAAAAAGAACTAAACATCTCACTAAATATAAATACATGGACAAATATAAAAGCTTGTATTCTTGTAATAATTGTTGGTAACTGTAATTTTTGTTTTCTTCACAATTTAAGAGATAATACATTTAAAGAAAAGTATTAGTGTGAAGTGTTATTGTGACTTTATTTTTTAACTCCCAATCTTGTTTTTTATATGTTAAAAAGTAATGTATTTAAAAGAACTATTAATTTATGCTTTGGGACACAAAGTATATAAAGATGAAATTTTGTGATGGTAACAACCAAATGGTGTGGGTATGAAGCTATAAAGGAGTTAGTTAGGTTGTTATGTGTTCTAATTTAGATTGATATAACTTTAGGATTGTAAATGTAATCCCCATGGTGACCACAAAGAAAATAGTCATAGAATATACACAAAAGGAAATGAGAAAGGAATGTAAATATTTCATTATAAAAAGATGACTAAAAAGGCCCTGGTTGGTGTGGCTTAGTGGTGGAGTGCCGGCCTGCGAATCCAAGGGTCACTGGTTTGATTCCCAGTCTAGGCCACAAGCCTGGGTTGCTGGCCAGGTTTCCAGTAGGGGGAGCACTAGAGGCAACCACACATTGATGTTTCCCTCTCTCTCTCCCCTCCCCTCTCTAAAAAATAAAATAAAACCTTTAAAAAAATGACATGACTTAAAAAAGAAGACACTAATGTTGGAAGTGGACGAAAAAGCTATCAGGCATATAGAAAACAAGGAGCACTAAGACAGAAGATGCTCCTTGTTACCAATAGTTTACATTTAAATGACAAACTCTCTAATCAAAAGAAAGAAGTTGAAAGAATGGACAAAAAGCATGTGATCCTACTATACATTGTCTACAAAAGACTCACTTGAGATCCAAAGACAAAATCAGGTTGAAAGTGAATGAATGGAGAAAGAAAGTCCATGTAAACATTATCCCCAAAAAGAGGGGGGATGGCTATACTAATATCAGATAAAATTAGACTTAAAATCAAAATGGTTACAAGAAACAAATACAAGAGATCTTAAATATTAAATAAAAGGTATTTATGAAAAGCAGATATGTTATAAACACTCTGACACCTAATGACAGACATCAAAATATATGAAGCAAATGGAATTGAAAGGAGAAATGCACATTTCTACATAACAACCATTTCTACAGTAACAGCTAAATGACTTTGATATTCCACTTACAATAAAAGATAGAACAACCAGACACAAGATATGTAAGGAATTAGAGGACTTTACCGACACATTTCTGTGAGCCATCCTTCAACTCTGAGAATTGTTTTGCTTTTTTTAAAGCGGGGTACACTTTGTTGTCAAGGATAAAGTCATTGTGATTACTACACTTGTGATGCTTACAATAATCTCATTATTACATATAGCAAGGGTTATATAATTTTGCTTTCCTCTGATGTAAATTTTTTTCTATTAAATACATCTTTTCAGTTTCCATAAAAAGCCCAAGAGTTGACTGGGTGAAAGTACAACTTGTCACACAGAAAGCAAAATAAAATCAACTTTATGGAAATACTTGAGAAGAAAAACAGTATGGAATCAGTAGTACCATATTTTCTCTAAGGAGCAACTTACCCATCATCACAATAGAAGCGAACTTCTCTATCGAATTCAAGGGCTACATTTGGGTCAAATATTCCACCATTTTCAACTTTTGGAGCTGTACATAATTTTTCTAGAAGAAAATTTTTTAATTTTTTAATACAAATTTCAAAACAAATTTAAATCATTATCAAAATTCTATACTATTCAATTCATGCACTATTATTTTCTTGAGTTAACTATTATAAAAGAAAATATAAAATTTACCCCGGCAACCAACTGCCTACAGAAAAATTCCTGGGAGATCTGTCAAATCCTAAAAACTGCACTGCTATCTAAAAACCTAGTTTCACATAAGAAAATCTTCATTGCCATAGTGGAAAATGGACCCTAAATTGTGTAAAAAAAATAAATAAACACTACAGCAAACACACACACACACACACACACACACACACACACACAAGAAAGGATTTGTTTACTTACTGGTACAGGCTTCATCAAGAGGGTACCATGTATTATTTGGCTCACAAAAGGTGTTGTAGGGGGAAAATAATTTACGTTTGTATCCTGGTTTACAATCATAAAATACTTTCTCCCAAGTCAAATATGAAAATTTAGCGTAACCCTTTATGTTCATAGACTCGAACGTTGGTGGGTAACCACAGTCACCTAAAAATGGGAAAATAAGAACATAAAAATAAAATATTTAATCTCTGACCAACCAGGGACTATGGCCTGGTAGCAGGTAGGTACTACAGAATAAATGGAACACTCTTCAGCAAGATTTTAGATAATTGTTCCCTGCTTTTACCCAAGTGGTGGTAGTAGTGGACAATGTGCCTCACTTTAAGTAACAATCTATTGGCTTTTGGTTTGTTGGGGAATGAGCTGAATTTTCATTCAACAGTAAATTTAAGAAACAAAAATCAATGTTTTGGGTTGCAAATATATATATATATATATATATACACACAATATATACTATATATATACACACACAAACAATGTTTTGCAAATATATATATATTTGCATCATTTTCAATTTTTTTTCCTAAATTCATTTCAAAACCCACTTCTCCTCTAAGAAATCTTCCGTACTATAGAGCACTCTGCCCAGATTACGTACTCTTCCACAGTTTGAAACAAACTTTTCACTTATTTTAGGCTTAGTCTCCTCACAGGAGTCAAATTCCCAGAAGTTAGAGGTCATATGCTTTCTTATTCTGCTAATTCTACCCAGTGCTCAAGACATGCTATGGTAAGAGGTGATTATCAAAAAAACATTTTATGGATCATAGATCAAAATAAATATGGGCTAAAGTATTTCAAAAATATAAATTCATTTCATATTAGTGAATGGAACATTTTATAAGTGAACAGATGCCATTTAAATTTTAAAATTTACTACTTTGAATAGCCCATTGTGAACAAAACCTGCTTTCTCACACATTATTTTAATTATAATGTAATCTCCCTTCACTGATCAGTAGATCTTGCGTTCCCTCACAAGCTCCCTGAAGTAGCTGTTTGGGCTGTAAATCCAATATATCCTACAGTAAAGCTACTGTATTGCTCTGCTTTTAGAATTTTTTACTTCTGCTTCATTTTGATAGTTTTTTCTCCATAGTTTCATTTTTATTTCAGCAATTCCTCTTATTTTTAATTATCTATGGACTTGAAAACCTAACAAATGTGTTAGAACAATTACATAAAATAATGTGATGGAGACACATCAAGTCCTAAAGGGCTAAAAGAATGCAGAGGCCTCTCCTACAAGGTTAAGGACCTAAGGAGAAAGGTCCGTTTTGATCCCTGAGGAACCCTCAAGTTTCTTATTCCCTGGACTGGTATTACTTCAAAGTGTGAGACCGGTCAAGAGAACTCTAAAGATGTGAAATATTACTCTTATTTTGTGTCATATTCTAAATTCTAAGATTCTCTCTATATACACAGGCCAACATTTCATTTCCATCATGCCCTGAAATTGAGCTACTGACAAAATGTTTTCAATATTTCCACTATTCTGACCTAGTATCTGAATGTTCCTCAATCAACTGTCCAAGATAAAAGCAAAAAGCAACCCCAAAGCCCCAGTAATTAACAGCATTTTAAAAAAGAGGATTTGTATAGAAGTGAATTTTATTAACATTACATTTACTGAATACCCTGAGCCAGACATTTACACTTATAATAGAAAAACAAACATGAGCTAGAAATTCTATATAATTCTGTTCCTATACAAATGCATCATTCTAGAATTTCCTGGAACCATCAAGAAAGAAATCTCATAACAGCATGTCTGTGATTAAATTATGTAACTGTTGCTTGATTTATGCATTCAATCTCAGTAACTATCCTAAAAGTGGATGGCCTTCAGCTTTTAGTTTGAGCTGTGTTGTGTGTGTGTGTGTGTATGTGTGTGACCATAGTGCCATTACTTATTGTTCATTTCTTACGTTTCTCATTTCTAACTAGGTTTGATTACCATTTTTTTTTTAGATTTCTTCAGATCTTCCCTTAAATAGGGCTCAACCTAATTTTAAAAAGTAAAACATTGCCCAAAGACATTCAAGAACAGAATAGGGTATTGTCTATATTGGACAGGAATAGGAAGGTGACTCCACAGTTCAAAACAAACAAACAAACAAACAAACAAACCAACCCAGTCAGCAAACCATTACCAGTATGATTTTTGGGCAATAAGGAGCATGTTGCCTTTATGTACAAAAAGCACTGCGTGGCGTTACCAATCTCTCTAAATCCCAGGGCTCTCAAGGACTCCCCTGCAAAACATACGCCTTCAGCCCCCAAACAAAGCGAGGAGTGAGCTTCCTTGCCCCCACTCCACACCGCTAGCCTGGACATTTCTGTAAACCGCAACACCAGGTAATACCTGTTCTCCCAGCCCCAACATAGCTGGCCACAAACACTCTCACCTCGCCCAGGGAGCAGAGCGCAGAACCTCTCCACAGTCACAGCACGGGCCCTAACATCCCCAAGCACCGGGCACTAAACAGAAAGCCCCCACTTCAGCACAGGTGAGGGCTTTCCATCCTTAATGACTCAGTCCCCAAACACTTGCAAGCTTTTGCTGGAGATACACCTTCGCCCCGGGCAAAACCCGGCAGCACCTAGTACCCCAAAAGACTCAGCGCCCACTACCCAGCAACATTCACCGCTGGCACTACAGGACCCCACCATCCTGGATCTGCCACAGCACAATCCTGAAGCTCTGCGAATAGGCATTCTACCCTAGCTCCCTACCACTGGGGTCGACCAAGCCCCGTGCCTCCTACCCGACCCACTGAGCGAATCCCCCTAGCCCTTGGCTCTGGTCAGTCTGCTCCCTGACTCGCTATAGTTCGCCTCCGGACCGCACGCCGTCTCCAGATTCCTACCAAAGGACGTGGGTAACCGCACCACTAGGGCCATCAAAAGAATCTTAACGAAGCTCCAAGGGAAAAAAGGACTCTTGGGGCGGCGGACAGGTGTCCTGCGCAGCTCGCAAGACGCTGTCATTTTCCGGGAGGTCAGCGGGAAATCTGAGAGACGGTGAGCATTTACCGTTTTGAGTGCAGACGCCAGACGCAACAATCGCTAGACTCACAAAGTGTTAAGTAAGTAACCACAGGTGGGCGTGAACTGCAGCACCACTGTGGCTGGGCGGGGCCACTCAGAGAGTGGCCCACCTGGAAAGGCGGGGCCTGGGCGCGGGGAGCGGCCTGTGAGCACTGGAGGGAACAGGAGGTCTCGTTTGCTGGGTCCTAATCTACCCCGGTCTATTGGCAGCTCTGGAAAGTAGAGGAGCTGGTAGAGTCGTCACTGCGTCTCTCCCAGAAGGCAGGATAGAATAAAGCACATCGCCCTGGGGAAAGAAAAACAACAACAACAAACAAAACAGAGCCTAGACAGTGGATTGCCTAGGGGCCAGCAGACCTGTAGTGTTCCACTTTCGTCCTCAGGTCTCCGAACTGCTAGTAGTGCCAGGGCCCTTGCTCAAATTTAGCATTAATCAGGCATAATTAGGGGCAATACTTGAGTTTTTCGTTGTTGAATGTTTGCTACCGAATCCCATCAAAGCCTGATGGTTTGGCCACTGCACATCCCAACCCCTATTATAAATGATTCTGCCCATACTCCCCTGAGAGGACCGCTGGGAAGGTAAATTATCAAACACTGTTGTTCTATCTTTTTCAAAAAAACTGTGTAGAAACAAAGTGGGAGTTGTCTCTAAAAGGAATGAGCTACAAGCGTCTGAGCAGAAAACCTTCCTAAATTAGGCATTGCAAGCTGACCTGTAATGTGGAGCTAATCTCTGTCCCTTAGCCTTGAGATCATTTTAGGGACTGAGTTCAAAGGAAAAGTATAGTCAAGACTTTGAGTGAAGTAGAGGAATAAAAATTGGAGTGGTTCCTCCAATTTTTGCTAAAGATGTTATTAACCTGTCAAATTAAAATTAAGAGAGAATGAGAATGTACATGCTAGTAGACCAGGTTTCTAGCTGTGTGGCTGATGTTCTTTAAAGCAAATGAAATCTAGAGAAAAGCAGATATAGCAGTGCTTATATCAGACAAAACAGATTTCAAGGTAAGAAGGGAAAGAGAGAAAAAATGGACATTTTGTCATGATAAAGGGGATAATTTGTCAAGAAGACATAACACATTACTATAGACGTACCCAGCCTGGGAGCACTGAAATAGATAAAGCAAATTACTGACAGACCTAAAGGGAGAAACTAACAGAATAGTAGGAGACCTGACAGCAATGGGTAGATCATCCAGACAGAAAGTCAGTAAGGAAATATTAACCTTACATGACACATTTGACAGAATAGACTTAATTGGTATCAATCAACTTTTCCATCCCAAAACAAAAGAGTGTGACAGTGTTTGGAGGGGAGAGGAGAGGGAATTTCAGGGGAAATGGGGAAGGATTTACAGGAACAAGTATAAAGGACACATGGATAAAAAAACTAGGGGTGGGTGGAAATGGGATGGAGGAGGGGAGGGCTAGGATGGGAGTAAAAGATAGAAAATGTACTGCAACAACAATTAAAATAAAATTAAAAAATTAATAGAAAAACCCCTCTGGAAAAAAAAAGAATGTGTATTCTCAAGTGCACATGGAACATTCTCAAGGACAGACAATATGGTGGAGTACAAAATTAGTCCAAATAAATGTAAAAAGATAGAACTCATACTAAGCAAATATTCCAACCACAATGGTATGAAACTGGAAATTTTTACAAGAAGACTTCTGGAAAAAACACAAATATGTGGAGGTTAAACAACACTCTACTGAATAACTTTTGGGTCAAAGAACAATTAGAGGTCAAAAGATACATAGAGATAATGGAAATGAAAATATAACAAATTAAAATTTGGGGGATACAGAAAAAGTATTATTAATATGGAAGTTTATAGCATTACAAGCCTACCTCCAGAAATATAAAAAAATAAAAAAATAGGGTTTTTAAAATTTTTTTAAAAAAATTTATTTATTTTTAGAGAAGAAAGGGAGGGAGAGAGAGAGAGAGAAACATCAATATGCGGTTGCTGGGGGTCATGGCCTGCAACCCAGGCATGTACCCTGACTGGGAATCGAACCTGCGACACTTTGGTTCGCAGCTCGCACTCAATCCACCGAGCTACGCCAGCCAGGGCAAAAAATAAATAGTTTAACATTATACTGTAAAGAGCTAGGAAAAGAACAACAAATTAAACCTAAATTACTTAGAAGAAAGGAAATACTAAAAAATCAGAGTGGAAATAAATGAAATAGAAAATTAAAAGATGATAGAAAAAATTAAAACAGAGTGCTGTTTTTTTTTTAAAAGATAAACAAAATTGACAACCCCCTGGCTGTACTCAATAAGGAAAGAACAGGAAAAATACAAATACAGAAAATTAGAAATGAAAGAGGAGAAGTTACAATGAATACCACAAAAATACAAAATATTATACAAGAATACTTATAAAAGATATATATGCCACTTAGTTCAAAAACCCAAAAGAAATGAACAGATTCCCGGGAGTGTACAACCTTCCTAGACTGAATCACGAAGAAATGGAAAATCTTAATAGGCTGATAGTAAGGAAATTGAAATAACAAAAAAACAGAAGTCCAACAACAGATGGATTGGTTGGTGAATTCTACCACATTCAAAGAAGACTTAATACCAGTTCTTTTCAGTGTCTTCTGAAAAATTGAAAAGGAAAGAATAGTTGTGAACTCATTCTATGAGGCTAAGGTCACCCTGATACCAAAACAAGGCAAGGACAACACAGACGCATAAAAGAAAATGACAGGCAATGTCTCTGATGAACACAGATGAAAAATTCTAAATAAAATAATGCAAATCAAATACAATAGTATATATTAAAAGGATCATACATCATGAACAAGAGGGGTTCATTCCAAGGATACAAGAATGATTCAATATCCACAAATCAATCAATATGACATATACCACATTAACAAAATAAAAAATAAAAATTGTATGATCATATCACTAGATGCATATATAGCAAACGTAAAACAAAGTAAGATACAACATCCATTTATGATAAAAAACACTTAATAAAATGGGTATAAAAGGAAAGCTCCTCAACATAATAAAGGCCATATGTGGCAGACCCTCAACTAGCATTATACTTAATGGTATAAAAACTGATAACTTTCCTCTAAGATCAGGAACAAAACAGGATGCCCACTCTCACCACTGTTGTTCAACGTAGTACTGGGAGTCCTAGCCAGAGCACTAAGGCAAGAAAAAAGAAAGAAAAAGCATCCAAATTATGAATGAAGAAACAAACTGTTATTTTGTTCAGATGACATAATTCTATATCTAGAGAACCATAGACTCCACCAAAAAACTATTAGACATAATAAATAAATAGAGTAAAGTTGAAGGACACAAAGTTGATATGCAAAAATTGTTATGTTTCTATATACTAATAAAAACCAGAAGTGAATAAAACAATACCATTTACAATCACACCCACAATAATAAAATACTTAGGAATAAGCTTAACAAAGGAGGTGAAGAGCCTGTGCACTGAAAACTACAAGACATTTTTGAAAGAAATTGAAGAAGACACCAAGAAATGGAAAGATATTTTATGTTCATGGATTGGAAGAATCAACATTGCTAAAATGTCCATACTACCTAACACAATCTACAGATTTAATGCTATCCCTATCAAAATCCCAATGGCATTTTTCACAGAAATAGAACAAAATATCCTCGTGTTGACATGAACCACAAAAGACCACCTAATAGTTAGAGCAATCCCGATAAAACAAAGAATAAAGCCAGAGGTATTACAACACTCTTGAACTTCAAACTATATTAAAAGCTACAGTAATCAAAACAGTATGATATTAGCAGAAAAACAGACACACAGATCAATGAAACAGAATTAAAAAACTCAGAAATAAATGCACATATAAATGGACAACTAAACTTTGACAAAGGAGCCAAGAATATAAAATAAAGAAAGAAAAATCTCTGCAATAAATAGTGTTAGAAAAAGTTGACAGCCATATCAAAAAAGAAACTATACTAATATCTTACACCATATACAAAAATAAACCTAAAATGGATTGAAGATTTAAATGTAAGGTCTGAAACAATAAAATACAAAGAAAAAAAACATAGGCATTAAACTTAACAAACTATGGTCTCAGATGGGTTTTATGAACTTGTCCCCAAAGGCAAAGGAAATCAAAGCAAAAATAAATGACTGAAAATGCTTCAAACTACATAAAATCTTGTGCACAGCAAAAGAAACTACCAACAAAGCAAAAAGCTAACCAACTAAAGGAGAGACGATGTTTGCAAATGATACCTTTAATAAGGGGATAATATCCAAAATATATAAAGAACTCACACAAGTCAACAACAACAAAACCAAAAACACAACCTGATTAAACAATGGGCAATGGACCTGAGCAGACATGTTTCCAAGGAAGACATATGGATGGTCAACAGATGTATGAAAAAGTGTTTGATATAGCTTGTTACTAGGGAAATGCAAGTCAAAACCACAGTAAGATACCCCCTTACATCTGCTGGAATGACTATTATCAATAAAACAATAAATAATGAGTGTTGGAGAAAAAAGAACAATGGTACACTGCTGGTGGGAAAGTAAATTGGTGTAGCTCTATGGAAAACAGTATAGAATTTCCTCAAAAAGGTAATAAGAGAGCTACCATATGACCCACCAATTCCTCTACTGAGTATCTACCTGAAAAGTTTTGAAAATACTCATTTGTAAGAATATGTCTATGGCTATGTTCATTCCAGCATTATTTAGAATAGCCAAGACATGCAAACAACCTAAATGTCCTTTGACAGACAATTGAATAAAGATGTGGCACATATATAATGGAATAGTACTCAGCCCTTACAAAAAATGAAATATTGACATTTTCATCAACATGGGTGGATCTTGACAGTACTATCCTAAGTGAAATAATGCAGACAGAAAAGTAAAAGAACTGTATGATTTCCCTGGTAAGTGGGTTATAAAACAAGAAGCAACAACATAACAGCAAGAAAACAAACACATAGATACAAACAACAAATGGAAGTTAGTGAAGGGGGAAAGGAATATAAAAGGAAAAGGAGAGTAAAAGGGTAAAATATACAGTATGGGAAGAAAATGAAACTTTGGATGATGAACACAAAATTGAAAATACAGATGTTGTATTATAATGTTGTACACCAGAAATTCATATAATATTTTAACAAATATTATCTAAAAAATTTAAAAACAATCAAAATATTAGTAGGGACAAGAGTCAGTTGTTTCTAAAGCAAGAGTTGAACTGAGTTGTGTGGAGAGTGAAGGAATTCCAAATATTAAGTGCTGTAGAGAGGGAGTAGGAAGAGGCTTGTAGCAGAATTACACTAAATGCATAGCTATGTCTCATAATGGAATAAAGACACTAAAGGTGGAAATCTATTTTTTACTTAGTGCAACTTCACAAATGGAGACCCACAGTCCAGCAACCCTACATAACCCAGTATGCATAGCCTTGGCTCACATAAAGATTCCAGGACACTATCTTACTTCATTTGTCCCTTGTACTCAAGGCTCAGCTCTGGCCCTCACTAGTGGAGAAAGGACAGTGTTCCAAATGCAAGGAGGTATGTTTTCTTATTTTTCATTAGTTTCCATGAGTCTTTCTTCTAAGACTTTACTGAAAGAAATATCTACTTTGATCATAACACTTATTGTACCTCCTTTTTAATATGTCCAATACCATTCTCTCAAGGATCTGTTTTTATTCCTTCAAGCTGTTCTCAACAGAACAATGGAAGAAGCACCAGATCCTAGTTTGCTGATGAAAAGGCAATAGAAGCTTCAATTCCCCAGCCTTACATCACATGCTGTCAAAACTCACCACTCATTACCACTTCTTTTGCACTATTCTCCTAGCATCTGCTGTCTCCCCTCATTCCTTGCAGGTTTTAGCTCCTAGCTCACAGCAACCTTTACCACTCTTACTATACTTATACTCCCCAATGATTCAGTATTCACAGTGATGCTATTTCTAAATACCTGGCCTCTTAGTGTCTTGATCTTTTCTGCCAATGATCTGTTCCTTCCCTCTACTCTGCCACTCATGCCCATGGAAATACCTTAGAAGTTGTCCTCATTAATAACTGCAGACCTTCCAGAGTTTCTCCATCCCACTCTCCAACCACCAATCCTGCCCTTCTAGTTTGCCCTGACCCAAACAATCTTTGTATTTCTTAGGACCTGCAACCCACTGATCTCCCTTAGTGTCCTACCTTTTGGCCTTACCAGATTAAGTTTCATGGTCCATCATTGTGATCACTGTCTTCCATACAACCTCAGCTCCCTTGTCCTTCTTTTATTTTATTATATTCATTAGACCAATGATTGTCAACCTTTTTCATCTCATGGCACACAAAACTAATTATTAAAATTATATCACATATATATTTTTTTGCCAATCAGACAAAAATAGGTATAACTTTGATTCATTCAAACTGAACGGTTACTGTTGGGTTGACTGTTGTCTTTTTTTTTTAAATTGACAACCTAAGGGAAAAGATGTCAGTGCCCCTGACTAAATGGTCAGATATCAAATGTTTAAAAAATTCTTGCAGCACAGCAGTTGAAAATTGCTGCATTAAACAAACAACAATCTTGGCTCGAGTCAGTTCTCCTTAATTTTGCCCTTGTACTCAAGAAACTGAAGGTGGGGGAAAATGTATGTTCATGATGACTAGTCTTACTTTAAAGATGGCTCACTTCAAATGGACCATTGTAATGCTGCCAGTTAGTCCTACTCTAGTTGCGTAGTCTATTTACTTTATCATTCTCCTAAGTGACTATTTCATATTTTTATATTGACATTAAATGCAGATGTCTCCTACATCATTCACAATCTCTGTTTATAGCTTTGCTTTTTGTTCAGAGAAAATAGAAGCAATCTGAGAGAATTTCCACAAACTTCTCTCCCTCATCACTTCATCCAAAGATCTGTATGTGGCCCATATAGTTTCCTTATCTCCTATTGGTCTGGGTCTGCTGTTCACATTGTTATCTAAGACTATATGCAGTACAGATCATCTGCTCTCACTAGCTCAATGACATCACTCCAGTAATTCTCCTCTCTCATCAGCATCATTGTTTCTCCCTTTCTTGATTTCAGATACAAACAAACAATTATTTCTCCAAACACAGCAGGTGTAGTCCCTGTATTTTCTTTCTAATGTTTCTTTTGTTTGGAACACTTTCTGACCTATCTGTATGGCTACCTCCCTCATCTTGGGTTCTTTTGTTCAAATGTGACCCCATCAATGAAGTCTTCCTTGGCCACTATTAGCAATTACATACTCATTAAACTTTCTTTTCTCTTTCACTGCTTTGTATAGTTTAAAAATTATACTTCTCATTTTTTGTTGTATTAGATCTGGCAATATGCTTATTGTCTGTCTCTCTTCATTAGAATAAAATCTACATAAGGACATAAGGTTCTTTTATCAATAATATGCCATGAACTAAAACATCTCTGGGCACACAGATTTACATAATTATTTGTTGAATGAATGAGTGAAGTAATTGATGTAGCTAAGGTCAACTACTTTTTCAGATAATTTAGTGGTAAGGAGTAGGGACATAGCTTAACAGAGAAACATGGATGGTTTGGGGAGGATTTGTTTTCAAATGGGCTGCTTAAAGTGGGCCCCTGCTTCATTTGGGATTAGTCCCCTGATTATTTCTTAAGGAAATTCCCTCTTTCCCATAGTTCCATGTGGTTCACACAGACCATGGTTTCTCCACCCTGACTCTATTGACATGTTGAAACAGCTTATCCTTTGTTGTAGGAGGCTGCCCTATGCACTGTGGGATGTTTAGCAGTATCTCTGTCCTCTCCCTGCTAGATGCCAAAACACTCCCCTGCTCCAGCTCTAACAACCAAAAGTGTCTACAGACATTGCCAATGTCCTCAGGGGAAACTTAGTCACCACACTTGAGAACCACTAATGTTGATCAGTCCTACCCCAGCTCTAAGCCTGGGCAGGCAGCTCTGGCCTTGTCATTTGGTTCTTACTATTGCCCTCACCCTCGTAAGTGGTTCAGCTGGGGGCATGTGATCTGTTTTTGGATAACTCAGAGTTAATGAAAGGATTTCTGAAGAAGTTATTGGATAGCAAAAGCTCTTTTTGCTGGAATGCTAAGCTGACGAGGTGTGTGCTTAGCCTTGTCAACAAATATTTTTCCAGTTTTTAAGGGGTGTCAACCACAGACTGAGACCAGCAGAGAAAAGCAGAAACAGAGGATGGAACAGATTCCCAAGGACATGATTTGAGTATTTAATTCCTATTTTGGGTGAAACCAGCTGCATCCATGATCTTTTCTGTTATGTGATACAATAAAATTCCATTTTGGTCCAAACCAGTGAGAGATAGATTTTTGTCACTTGCAGATGAATGGGTATTAGCTTGAGCAGGTTTGGTGGTGGAAAAGAGCCAGTGATGATAGAGGGTATAACTTATGGAGCAATGTCCTGGAAGAAACAGGAGGGGATGAGAGAGAACAATATAATCTGTAAAAAGTGGTTGGTGGAAATGATGAGTGGCTATAGGTAAGCTTGGAGGTAGAGGGAGAGAAAGAAGGGGCTAGAGAAAGGTGTTGGCTAGAGAAATATAAGAGAAAGTCTTGAGGATGGAGGGCACTGGGTTTGTGGGTTGAGAGTCTGGCTAAAATGACTAATTGGTAGGATTCAGAATTCATAAGTGTCAAATCAGAAACTCTGAAAACTCTAAGACTATGTCCGTTATTCAAGAATTTGTATGACAAAAAATCATATAAGGTAAGTATTTTTTAAAGATAAAATTTATTTGAATAACTAATGTACATATTATTAAGTGACATTTTATAAGCAACCAGAGCTTCTGACAAAACTAGAGAGGAAATATATAAAGACTGAGCTGTACACAAGAACCTAAGAATTAAAATTACATTCCCACAATTAAAAACATATTTTTGAATTAGTAAATGATTATGGAAACAAAAGGTATACAGTATGAGAAAAACCAAGCAAAAATAAAAGAAAAAATGTTTAGCCATATCTGACAAAAAGCTACTATTAAAATAAAATCAGACTTCTCTATAAAGTTATGTCCCAGGTGGCCATAGAAAATGCTTCATACTTTGCCTAAATACTGAAAACCACACCATAATCAAAAGTATATGGTAACAGTAAGCGTGCTAATTACAAAAGAAGAGTCTACATAGAAGGACAGTTCATTTTAGTGCCTCCCTTGAAACAGTGACACTTTCAGAGCTACGTAATTGATTACAGCCACAGCCTGGCTCCAGCACATCACAGGTGAGGCTTTAAAAACACCTTGAAGAGCAGGTGGCAGTGAAACCGGGCCTCCATCTCTATCATCAAGCAGACTTTGTTCTCCTTGAGACTAAATACAAATAGAAAGAAGTAGCTTATGAAATCATTTTGCTGACGTTGAGTTCATACAAATACACTTGATGATATTTGAATGATTTTTTTCTAACCCATGTTCAGTTGTATTCTAAGCAAGAAGGTACACTGAAATGAATAATTTGTGTTTAGGTGGCAGCATAAATAGTAGTGGTGCAAATCAAAGTTTAGATAATAGGAGTATTAACATTCTCTGTATATACAAATTATAAGTGCTGTAATGAATAAAGCATCAAGCCTAGTAGGTAATATCATTATATTAAGAAGTCCTTCTTAAGATAACATGATATGGAACAAGTAACAATTAAATTTTATATTAATAAATATGCATAAAAGTCAGGGAGAGACTGAAGCAGTAGTCTCATTCTCATTCATTCACATATTCATTCAACAAATATTTGTGTTATATATAGCTTTACTTTGGATCTCCGCAAGTTTGGATTTAGATATCACTCTGGCATGGCCTCCCCTGTTCCTCTTTGCTTTTTCTGTGACTCATCAGTAGCAACTTTTTCTGTATCTTGTTCACGGTATGTATTCTCACACTATGATATGTATGTGTCTGTTTTTTTTTTTCCTGAAATTAGTTCCCAAGAGGGCAGAGGTAGGATCCTTTATGTCACATATTATGCAAAAGAAAGCAGTTTCAAGTCAGATTTGAGCTTGAATTCTACCTTTGCCAAACATTGACTCCAGACCATGGACAAGACAAATATTTAGCCCTAGTTTTCTCATCTCGGATATTATCTGCTCACCTCGTTATTATCTTGGGACAATACTCAAGTTTCAGTGTTGCACTCAGCACTAAATAAGATAAAGCATGAGAGATTCTAAACATAATAACTGCATACAATAAACCTTCAACTATTCACTCCCATTTTGTCCTGGAAACCTTAGAGGGACCCTTGCTGTTGCCTGCCAATGTAGGGTGGCTACTTAATGCCTTCACCTTGCTCCTTAAATCCCTGTCATCTCCTTTTCCAATCTTCTTCTGAGCTGATCATTTTACTTATTAGTCAGTGGGAAAACAGAATCATCAGAAGAGAACTTCCACACATGCGTTCACCATCACACCTCCCCATTTGTACTCATTTGTACCCCACCTGCCTTCATTTGTACCCATATGTTCAACTTTTCCTCCTGTTCTTAAGGCCATGCTCCTATCTGAGGTCTACACCACCCTGCTTGTGCCCTAGATGCTGTTCCTTCTAGCTGACCCAGACATTGCTCCAGCAATTCTACCTTTTCTTTCCTGCCATCATTTCCCCACTTTCTCTAACATCATTCTCATCAGCACATAGGAATGGCAGCATAGCTGCCATTTCTCCATTCTTAAAAATATTTCTCTTGGTTTCTTTCTTATTCTTGCCATCACTCTACTTATCTGCTCTTCCTCACAGAAAAACTCCTTGAAAGAGTTGTCTTAATTGATGTCTCCAATTTTTCTCCTTTCATTTTCTCTTAAGCTCACTTCAGTCAAGGTCTTGCTTCCTTCCTCTCCACCAAAACAGTTCTTGTCAAGTTTACCAACAAGTGTTGTGCTGCTAAACGCAATGGGCAGTTTCACTACCCATTTTCTTGATCTATCAGCAGTGTTTGACAGGGTTCCCTCCTTGCAATTCGTTCTTCCTGTGACTTCTAGATGACCACACTCAGGTGGTTTCCTCTTGTATCAATGATTCTTCTTTGCTACTTTGGTGGTTCCTTCTTAATCCATGACTCCTAATGTTGGAGGATCCAAGGCTCAGCCCTTGGACCTTTTCTCTTCCCTAGACTCTTTCTCACCTTTGGGGATCTTAGTTGATCTTGTTCTTATGTAAATCCATACACTGTCAGGGCCCAAATTTACATTTTGAGTATGAACCTATTTGTACATCCAGCTGCCTTCCTGGCACTTCTACTTGGATGTCTATTTGATATTTCATACTTAACATCTTCAAAGTGGAACTCCTGGTTTATCTTGCAAATCCTGCTTTCAAATTCGCTGGCATTTTAATTGATGGCAATTCTATATTTCCACTTTCTCAGGCCAAAATACACTTGTATTATTATTGATTCCTCCTTTTCTTTCATGTTCTGATGCAAACTGGCAACAAATCCTACTGTCACTATCCTGAAAGTGCATGCAGAACTTGACCTCTTCTCACCAGCTTGGTGGTAGCCACTCACTGCCTGCATTATTGTGGTAGAATCCTCACTGATTTTCCATATTGTGCCCTGGGCTTCCCACACTCTGTTCTTACACAGAAGTTATAATTGCTCCTCCACTTAACACATCTAGTGGTTCCCATCTCAGAATAAACACAAACTAATTGAATGACCTAGCATACTCTACTTGAGCCATCATCCTCACAATCCTCCCCTTACTCTCTGATTTAATCTCTACCACCTTCACTCATCTTTAGTTGATAGTAAGCCATACTGGCCACAGCCTGCAAACAACACCCTTATGTTACTGATCTTAGTTCATGAAAAATTCTTCCCCACATGGCTGGCTCTTTACTTTTCTCTAGTTTTTGCTCAAATACCATTTTCTTAGTGAGAAATTCCCTTCCAATTTACCCTGCCTTCACTATTCTTTTTTTCCTGCTTTATTACTTTTCATAATACTTATCTCATTAATTCTATTCTTAATATTTTGTTATTTATTTAAATATTTGTTGAATGCATGAATCAGTTAAAAAAAAGCAGGGACATTAGTTGGCAATTTGCAGGTAAATGAACAATTTCCATGCATGATTTAAAATACTGTGCAATGTAACCATATATATTTTGTAATATGCTTGTTGGTAAATATAAAAAGGAAAATTTTGACACAGAAATGCATAAAAACATTTCAGTTTCATTAGATACCTGTTTATCTTCTGGTTAGCTTGCTGAGTTGTGTAGATCAATAGAATATACTTCCCATATTTTCAAATAAAGATCTCCTTCTCTAGGGTTTGTATTTGTATAACAATTGCTAAGTGGATGAAGAAAGAAAAAATACAATTTTTACTCATTAGCTATGATTGCTATAAAGATATAACTGTTATTTTCTTTCCATACTTCCCAACACATGGTAAATACCTTTTTTTCATGGTAAATACTTTTAATAGGTCATTCCATTTTATTGTCTGATGAAATAATCACTACAATCCCTAATTTTTGTAAAGGCCCATATAATATAAATAATTTGCTAGACTGCTAAGTGTCCAAATCAAAAGTTGGCATTAGGCCGCTCTACCTCAGATCTAGAATACTAAATGACTAATAACTGTATTCCCCAGTTTGAAAAAAAATCAGGAAAAAGCTTTTATTTTAAGATGTGATTACATGTTTACCTATTTGGGACACAATCTTCCAATTTAACATAAAAGGAATTTTTTAACTTAATGTTTAATTCAAAATTCTTATATGGACATATAGCAGTAAAAGCTTTAAATGATTTTTAAGGGGATATTTTTTACTTTTCGTCTTTGAAAGCTCACACACTTTCCTGTGTTTCTAAAACCACTTTGCTGATATTAACAGAAGCCAAGAAAATGTGATTATACTACCATATAGAACTCAAAAATAAAGTATTACAAAATTATTGGGAAAGGTAAATTGTTTCTAAGGTACTTATAGCATGTCACTACATATTTAAGAAGCCAGCTAATAAAAGCTCTATTAAGAATATCATAAAATAATAATTTTTCAGTTATCATGATATTTAGATTTTATTAAAATATCTTACACAATAGAAGAAATAGCATGGTCTTTTCTTCAAATATTAGATGGGTTTTAAAATATTTAATTTTGTCATTTTTAAGTGGTTAGTCATCTCATTTACAAAAAAATAGTTAATGTAGTTCAAATGTCTATGCCAACTATCAGAAAATAAATTGTAGTTTGTTAGAAACTAGAAACAAAACATAAGAGTGACACCAAACAATTTAGTGTAACATATATTTGGTTCATATCAATATAGATACTTATATATAGTATTGCTATAATCATGTTAATAAACTTAATAATAATCAAGTGGAACAATTTAAATTACTTGAGTTTGTAGGCATTCCAAAAATTCATAAATTTTCCTGTACATATAATGTTCTGAGAGCAAAGGTGGGAACATGAAAGAAAGATATAGAAGCCACATTTTCTGTTTATTTAAGTTTATAACTACTCTTGGCTAAAATTATTTTCTAACTTCTTGCAAGGAAAACCATGCAAATGACATCCCATTTTTTGAGACCCTTTTCTCTCTGCATATCTGTGACACTACTCTCACTCCTAGCTTTCTTCCCACCTCTGACTGTTCCTTCCTCTCCTGCCCTTTAAGCATTATAGTCCTTCTGAGATTGGTTTTATCCCTGTTTTTAACTTTGATGTTCTTTTTGGTCCCAAAGCTTCAACGTTGAGTTAAATGTCATCTACCCAAGTCTAGGAACCTCTCTTGAGTGGTCAGAACTGAACTCTTCAACTTTCCCCACAAACCTGTCCCTCTTCTTTCTTGGTCCAACACTAGGACCACCCAGTGACCTCCTCTTGACTCATTCTCTGTGCCCCCTTCTCCTTACATTCAACAGGATACACAGTTCTGGGGATCTTGTAGTCTTAACAGTGAAGATTCCTCTTACATCTGTTCCATCCTCTTGATCCCAGCCACTGCTGCTTTGGTTGATGCCCCATTCATGTCCCTTCTTTTGAAAATGCAAATCTGAACATATTTCTTCCTTGCTTAAATTCATGTAGGATAAACCCCAACTCCCTGTTACAGCCTGCAGGCTTTTGGTGATCTAGCTCCTGACCACCTTTCTAGATTCCCAAATTGCCTGTTAAATGCAGATCAGTTCCAAGGGTTATTAAAAGCATATTTTGAGAAAAAAAGAGTTGTGCAGTCAAATTAGTTTGGAAAACTCCAGTTTAAAAAACATTAATTGGCTTCTTTATTACAGGACTTTATTCTCATGGTGATTGTGAAATCCATGAGAAAAATGTAGTATGCAGTATTTTTCCATCTTATTTGGTCATAGACTGCCCTTTCTCCTGAAGTCATTCACAGCACCATCCTCCAGTAAACACAGCTGTCTCAAGTACATCCCAACTGTAGACCCTTGCTGGACCTGTCCTGCTAGGGCCCTCCCAGGCTTAGAATAAACTACTCAGGTTCATCGATGCCATCACTGCATAGTTTCAATGTAGTCCCTTCTTGTTGGATATCTAGACTAGACATACAACTGTGAACAATGTAATCAGATGGCACTGGCTCAGCTGGTATTTTAAAGAAATTTTGCTGGAGTTCATGGGTGACATATTTGGTGTGACATGAATTGGTCATCCCCCACTAGAATTTGAGACTTGGCAAGACTTCATCTGACTATATTCCCTAACACTGTCATGTACAAAGACTCAAGAACTTATGCACACAGAAAATTCTGAGGCTGATACATAATAGTGACATTTGCTAATAATGTATCATTTGCACATACCAGAATATTCTGTAATTTCCACAAAATTTATGTGCCGGGGGGACTTTTATTCCATTGCCCCCACCTAAACCTATACTACCATTACCTTCAAACACATTCACAGACACTATTTCTCAGTCACATCAAATTCCTTATGTAATTCTCATGGTATATGATGGAATGACAAGTTTCTGGGTCTTCACTCAAACTGTTCCTTTCACCTGTAATACTTTTCTCTTCTTGTCTACACTCACTTGAATATCACCTGAAACTTCTCTTGCAATATGGGGCACTTTCTGATAAAAATTTTCAAACATTGACCATGTGTTTTGTGTCCACACCAAATATCACATGAAACACTATGGCAACAATATAGATTCAAATGTACAAAAAATTAATAAGTTAAAAATAAAATGTAAAACTATGTCTAATTTCTGGATAATAACACATAACATAACAAACCATAGAAACCTAGTAATATACTTAAATAGTCATGAATACTACAACTTAGTGAAACATTACTTGAACAGAAGACAGGTGTAGTATGTTTTTGAATGGGAAGACATTACAGAAAAGATGCCAATTTCTCACAAATTAATCTATAGGCTTACTTGTGATCACAACATATCTGGTTTTAGAAAATGAAAAATGATATAAATGTCACCTGAAAGAACAAACACATGATAATGGAAAGGGAAATCCTAAAAAATTATAGTGGGGGTGTTCCTGCCCTACCAGATGGTATAGTCGTAAAAAGCAGTGTTAGTTAAACACAAAAGATTTCTGGTGGACATATTGAAAGATCAATAAACCAGGAAATAAGAGTTCAGAAACACAACATATCCAGCTATATTAACTATTTGATATTTGATCACATTAGAACAAACTTTCTGTCCAGTCATTTAGCAATTTTTATTAAAAATCTTAAAACTTCATATACTTATCCTTAGTAATTATACAAATCTATGCTGAGGAAATAAGTAGATGTGAAACAAAGTTTATTCAAAAGCACTCCTCATATTTTTGTTATCAAAGTACATGTGGAAGAAAATTAAAATTTCCACAATATAGAAATCCTTATAAAATAACAGTATTCTATTAAGTAACTAAAAAGAAACATAACTTCAAGACACAAAAAATATGTTCATTAGGTGTGGAAAACAGTATTGAATTTCCATAAAAAATTAACAACAGAACTGCCTTTTGACCCAGTGATTCCACTGGTGAGAATATACCCCAAGGATCACGAAACACCAGTTCAAAAGAAGTTATGCTCCCCTATGTTTGTAGCAGCACTGTTTACAATAGCCAAGATTTGGGAACAGCCTGAGTGCCTATTAGTAAATGAGGGGATTAAAAACTTGTGCTACACAATGGAATACTATGTAGAAGAAAAAAAGAAGGAATCTCTACCTTTTGCAACATCATGGATGGAAATAGAGACTATTATGGTAAGTGAAATAAGCCAGTTGGTGAAAGACAAATACCATATAATCTCACTTATAAGAGGAATCTAGTGAACAAAGTAAACTAGTGAACAAAATAGAACCAGAGTCATAAAATCATGGAATAGACTGGTAGCTGTCAGAGGGGAGATGCTGAGACTGTTTGAAAGACAGTGAAGGTCAAAGAATATATATGAAGGACCCATGGACATGGATGATTGTGTGGGGAAAGACTATGGAAGTGGGGGGCAAGTTGGGAGGAGAGAAGCCAAGGGGGGTAAAATTGGGACAACTATAACAGTATAAACAATAAATAAATTAGAAAATTGGGGCAGGAGACTATAATACCAAATTTTTAGTTTAAAAAAGAAAAAGAAAAAGAATATAAGAAAAATATCAGGTAGGAATATTTCAAAATATCTGCAGTTGTTATTGCTGGGATTTTTTCTTTATATCTTCTATATATTTTATAAATCAATATCTGAATAAACATTATGCAAATAAAATAAGTATTAAATATCTTTTAAGATCTTACAGATAAGGGCTTCCTGTATATAGTATATGTGATGTGGACCCTGAGAAAGAAAATACCTACTAAGAAGGGCTCCTGGTGGCTAACTGGGCCAAAGTCTTTTTTAAAAAGGGCACATTAACCATTTCTACACAGGGGCATCTCACTCAAACTGTACTTCAGGGAGAAGCCTGAGCTGAACTATCTGCCTCTGCAATGAACTGCCTCCAACACTGTGTTTTTGCCAAAGTGCAGCCTTTATAAAAAGTTCCTAGAATCCCATATCAACCTATAGGACTAAGGCTTCTTCCATCAAATCAGAGCTGCACAGCTATAATCAACATCTTCACTGACCAATCAGAACAGTTCATTTCCGATCAATCAGGACAGTGCCTTTTTGACCAATTATACTGGGAGAATTTGGAGTCCTCAGATACATGAGGGTGGACCAATCATGGACCAAGAGCAGGGAATTGTGCCTATGTAAGGCTCCCTATACATAAGCTCCTTTTTAGCTCAAGTAGTGTACTCTCCCTTTTCCCGGAGGACTGAATTTCCTCATCTGAGCTAAATCACCGAAGATGTCTCACCAGAGCAGAGCAAACCAGCACAGGCCATAGCAGAGCAGACCAACAAGGAGCATGGCAGAACTATCTAGCCAGGGAGGGGCCTGGGCCCAGAGCCTCCTGGCCCCAGGGCTGTCTCACAGCCATGCTTTTTTCATTACCTTGCTGTATTACAATTGAGCTGTTTTGCACTGAATCAAGTTTCCTTCTTTACTGCACTCCAGATTAGGGATTCCTGTTGGTGTTGAACTTGAATTGGTGTCAATGACTATTGGTTAACTTACAAAATACCATATTCCTGTTATCTCATTTTAAATTATTTTAATATAACTTATGTTTCTGTGTTTAGTTTCAAGCAAGAAATGAAAACCTTTTCTGCTTTGGTTAAGCATGCATTGAACTTACTGTTTTCCGTGTTTCAATATCAAACATAAGGTGACACTAACCAGGCAGATAAGAACCACAAAACCTGCAGAAAAACCTAGAAAACAAAACAGCAAGTATCAAATGCCAGAAAAATTTGACCTATATAGTTTTGAAGTGATTATGGAGACTATTCCTAGTGGTAGGGATTATGGCATGTTACTTTTTTACTTCTCTTTTCTGAGCCACATAAATATAGAATTCCTAAATAATCATACTTGGCCTTACGGTTTTTCTAGTTTAATACATTCCACATTTAATCTAAAGTGCCAAGCACTTGACCCCAGGGTTCCAGTCAAGTTCTGTTGGGCTTCTCTGTTCCTTCCCATTTTACTAGTAATGTTCTTGTCACCGGGGTAAAGTTAGGAGCTGGGGACATTAGGATCCTATAACTTTGCATGACAACATTTTTAATTCTCAGTTGTGAAATATATTTTTCTATTGTAGAATAAGTCAGCCTCTTCTGATAGTGCCAGATCATGCAAAAGACCAAGAGTAAATATACACCAAACTTTCAACTTAAAAACTGGGAATAGCTGGCTGTTCAAATTATTTATTCAACTCTATCCAAAAGTGACAGTTTTCATTGTGAAGGGCACATTAAAATTTCCTTAAGACACCAAACAAGATAATTTCTTATGAGTTAAAGAAGGAAAATTATAACACTCAGGCAGAATGTAAGACCTCAAATTTTATATAAAATTTTTAAAAGTCATTAAAATGTTCATTAATTATTTAAGAAAACTTACCACAAAGAAGAGGAGCAAGTGAGCCTAAGGAAAATCCAAAATCATGAACATATTAGTCTAGCTGCATGAATCAGGGTAGCCCAAGGTCCCATGGCACTCTCCCAAACTTAGGGTTTCTCTAAGTTAACATTCCTCTCTCTAAGTCTACTTAAAAGGATGAATTGGAACCTTAGTTTTATCCACTCTTCCATCATTTCTTATATTGCAACTCATTGAACTTGTTGAGTTTTCACATTTTTAATTAAGTAAGTTGGGGTAGTTCACTAACTAAAAAAACAATATAGTCAGGGATTTCTCAGGTTGGAATGCAATTATTAACTGCTGTGACTGGTTTGTTAACATATTTTTTGAGGTCCCTGTCAAATTGGTAAGCCCTTATAAATCAAGATTCAGCAACAAGGGAAGTCTTAGCAGTAGCCCCTTACAAAATGTAAGGTCGTGAGTTTTGTACCTTTTAAGTAAGTGTTCCTCTTTCTTTCTTTACTTCCCTCATCCTCAGAAAGCTTTGCTTTTTCTAGAATACACAACCAACTAAAAATTTGTCTGTTAGTGTACCACTGGTTACAGGCCCAGTTCAACTTAAAACCCAGGCGCCCCTAACATTGAGGGGTATCCCTCAGTCACCTCCCTCCAGTGAGACAAGTGCCAGCAAAGTCCCTTGTACTTACCTTGTGATCTGCAAACATCCAGGGGAGGGTTCCCTCCATGATCCTCCTGGCATTGGCTCTGGGGACTGCCTTCCAGGGTATACCCTTCTTCACACTCCAAAGTAACAATTGCACCATACTGATACTTTTTTTCCCAGACTCCAGCCCCTTCTGCATTCCATTCATATACTCTGGGAAGCTACAGTTTACCTCTGAAATCAAAGGAATCTAATTTAGCAATGAAGTAGATTCCGCCCCTAATGAAAAGTTTTACAGAACCAACTTAGTTCATCTCAGTAAGTAAAGTCTGACTGAAAAACAAAATGATAACGTAGGTAGAGTCTTTCAGTGTCAGCCATCTATCTCAATAACCTCTACGTAATTTAAACCAGGATTACTTTCCTTCCTTGTGTTTTAGTTTCTAAACTAATAGCTGTTTAATTTTAATGACTTGTCAGGGAAATTGTGAGGGCTAAATGGGTAGGAATTCTGAATTACTGTTTTATCACTGTCGACTCTTACTCTCCAATTCATACATGCACATGCTTCCTCCTTTTTTCTTTCATCTCTTCAGTGTAGGGGTCAATACTGTGAGATTTTTGGATTTGAATCCTGATACTAGACCTTCCTAATGTGTGACTTTGGAAAAGTTACAAATTTCTTCATTCTACTGAGATTTCATCTCTAATATAGGAATAAAAATGGTACCAATGAGAACTTCATATGGTTCTCAAAAAGATTAAATGACAATGCATTCAAAATGCTGTGTACAGTATCAGACACACAGGAAAAAGTGCTCAACAAATATTACATATAAGGAGAGATCCCAAAATTATAATTATCTTTTGGAGGGTGGGCCCCTTGTAGTACAGGCTTCCCCTACTATGTGAGTGTTCCAGGAACCCACCTGTATCAGTGTACCAGCTAACGTTGTTGTGAGAGGCTATGTTCAGCCTCTGAATTTTTTTGACTCTTTCAACACATTTGGCCATTTCATGATGGGTGATTTACGGGTGTACCTGCCCACACAGCACTGAGTAGTCAGCAGTTTTTGACCAAAAATGGCATGCCCCCATACCTCACCCTCCCTATTCACCTGATTTCACCTCAAGTGACTGTTTTTTGTTTCCCCGGCTGAAAAAAGTCCTCAAAGGGAAACATTCTACCAACATGAAAGAGGTGAAACAAAAGAACAAAAGAAGCAATAAAAGGCACCCAAACTGATGAGTTCAAAAACTGTTTTGAGTAGTGGAAAAAATATCTCCATAGGTGTACTGCATCAAATAGAGAGTGCTTTGAAGGTGACTGAAGTTTAAATAAGGAAAATAAATACACAATTTTTAAATAAATAAGCTCTAAGTTTTTGGGTCCCCCCTCATTTTATCTCACTTCTCATTTTTATATGCCTAATGAAATGACATTCTGAAACTTTTATAAAACTATGTACCTGTAATCCCACCATCACTCCAAGGAAATACACTGAAAAAAGTCATTGTACTTTTTCATTAGTGTTTTGTCAGATGCATACTTACCATAATTGTTATCACAGTGTAATACACTTTGGTTGTTTAATTTATATAAACATTTCAACTTTCTATATTTAAAGGACTACATAATTGATCCCTCACCAGATAAACTACACACCCAGTCATTTTTCTTATTTTGTGGTATTTAGAGTAATTAATATATTAATCTAATTAAATGTATTTAATTAAATGATCTAATTAAGGCATTTATTTGATGATTTTAAGTAGAAAGTTCCTAATTGAATAGGTCTATTCAGAACAAATTTAGAATATTAAATAGATAATGCACCTTTACAAAAAGGGGCAGGGTGACTCCAGGTTCCCTCATGTGTGCAATAAAGGCGTGCACCTCCCACCAGCAGGTAGCCTTCGTCACAGCTGTACAGGACTGACATTCCATCAGAAAATCGAGCTGTATCTCCACCAGTGTGATTCCCATTGGGGATCTTAAATGGAGGTTGACATCCTATGAGGGCTTAGACGCCAATAAAAAGGGTCTTTAGTTTAGTGCAGAGGAACGCATAGCCAACACTTTCTGTGAGTGATGGCCATACAGAAAGAGGGCAGGCAACAAGCCAACTAATTGGTATCTAGTCATATCCCTTCCACCCAAACCAAGCAGCACTGGACAGAGATTTGCACTGTCTATGTATGTTGTACACGATCTGAAGAAAAATGTCAAAAGTAAGATAATGAAACACCTATGGCTTCAGCCCACAATTGTAATCTACCAACCAATAGTAGTCTTCGCTTTTCCCTTTAGATACCACAAAGAAGAGAGAACCTGTCCTTCTAAAAATGACAGCCAAAGGCCAATTCAAGCAACTGCTGCCTGGCAGGGGAGCAGAGGGAACCCTTAATAAATCAGAGGTTCTACATTTATCTTGGGCTGTAAACATGTGTTTCACTTAAAATGAGAATATTATGTTGGCCAAAGAGAACCGTTCTTGTGACTTAAATTTAGTTCTTGGGTCACTAATTGCCACCCTCTATTGTACATGGTCACCTAGTCACCGACAGAAATAAAACAGACAAATGATAACTACAATTACAAGAGGGAGAATTCAAAGAGTCCAAAGGCCAGCTTCACTCCTCAGAATATGCAAAGTTCTCTTTCTGGCTGGTCTTACAGCCTTAAATATCCAATTATCAAGCCACACCTTTGACCACCCCCCTCAATGGTAGGTGTGTTCTTATCATTCTAATTTAGTAACAAAATAAATTTTGTAGACAGTATCCACTTGCCAATTAACCATTGTCCTTTCATATATTTAGCTCAATCCACTTAAAAAGGGAAGAAGAAAAAAGAATTGGGTGAGAAGATAAGACAGGTATCATTTAAGCAAGCTTTTACATGCTTTTCTTTAAGTCAAATAGCAAGCAAGTGCAGATTCAAAAATCTTTGTCCTTATTTTGAGCACCATCCTATAGTTAATGTCCTAAAATAACTTACCCATTTTGATACAAGTTGGTACACCTGGACCCATTTGTTATTGGTATGACACCTAATCAGCTCACTGCCATTCATGATGAAGGTGGGGTTGCAGGCAACATATACAATGTGATTGTGGGAATATGATGAGTGAGTTTTATTAAGTATGTATCCATGTTTGACTTCTGGGTTAGAGCAATGGGTCACAGGATGAGGTTTTAAGCACTGTGGGGGTGGTCTATTCCAAGATCCATGTCCTTTAGAATCACTTATGCATCGTACAGTTTTCTCTCCCAGAAGAGAGAATCCTTGGTCACATTCATAAGAGATTTCAGTTCCATACAGGAAGTGTTCTGCCATCACACCGATGTGCCTCCCATTGTCAGTCACTGGTGGAGGTGGGCAGTGAATAGCTGCAGAAGAGATTCAGAAAGTTCTGCTTTAGCAAGTACACCAAGGTGAACAGTCATCATTCAGATACAAATGAAGATTTGGAACTGTGTGTATAGCACATAACTGTAATATGATTTAGATTTACAATGTGTTCTTTCAAACAGTTTATAAATATTTTGATTATATAAATAGTATGTATTCATTCTAAAAAATTTAACAATCCAGTAAAGTAATAAGAGTGAAAGAAACACAGCTATATTATCATGAATTAGAAATATATATTCATATGTAATTTAATCCATAGCATATAAATATAATTTAGAAGATGTATGCCAAATACTCAGCTCCTACTTGACAGCTTTGCTTCCCAGTGACACAGTGAAGACCAAACAGTGAAAGATATTTCTTTTCTGAGGTACACTGAGATAGAGCACAAAGACTGTTGAGGTAGTTCCTCAACGGCCTGACACTTGAATGCCTTACTACCCCAGTGACAAATTTAAGTGCTGTCTTACCTTTACAGTGTGGAATCTTTTGGAACCATACCCCATTCTCACCATCTTGACACTTCCGATAAGAATGTCCAGTCAGCTGGTACCAGAGAGAGATTATAATACATTTCTTCTTCTCAATGTCACATCTCTGAAACCTAGCCCCCTCACAACACAAATGCAGAAGCACTCTTAAACATGAATTTTGGTAAAGAGAAATTAAAACACTAGACCCTCCAAGTAAGAAAACTATTAGATTTAGAGTTGTTCACAGCAAAGCCATTTCTAGGTCAAGAAAGAACTAAAAAGTCAGAGATGTTAGTTGGACCTTTGGAACCTCACATTCCCTGTGAGTGTGGCAATGAGTAACCTCTAAAGAGAGTCATCAGGACAAGCTGAGGGTAGGAGTACTGCACAAAACCAAGTGGAGAACCTCTCTGAATGGGCCATCTCATACTCACCCGTCATGACAGGATGTATTAACTGGAATCACAGGGAAATCACCTGGAAGCTCTTGAACATCTTCTCCCACAGGCTGACATGGTGCCTCTAGAGGAAGAAGGTTGGAATTACTTATACATGCCTGGGACCAAAGAGAAAGGCAGCTCTGGAACTGAAAGTCCCTTCACACTGAGGGGCAGAAGGACTCCAATTTCCTGAAGACATACACTGAATGGATTTGTTGCCCACAAGCAAGTAGCCAGGGTCACAGGTGTAGTCTACAGTCATCCCAGAGACAAAGAGGACCCTGTTTCCACCTGTGTGCTGACCATGGAGGAGCCCAGAAGGTGGCTGGCAGTCTGAAAAGAAAACTCCCCACATAAATACCAACAAAAAGGAATTTATGCTCTGGAACATTAAGTGCACAAAATTTGACAATAGACAATCTAAAACATTTAAGCCAAGGATCACAAAACTCTAATTAAATACTAAATGCTTTCTGTACTTTTGAAAGAACTAAGACATCTTTAATCAGGGCCTGTCATTATCTACCCTGAATATCCTCTGGATACAAGAGGTATTTACATGAAGGACATATAAAACACACATGGAACATTCTGTTACAGATGGAAGAAACAGGAGAGCAATTTGTGCCCCATTGACTTTTTCCATGATTCTAGTTTTGGGTGGGAGATAAGAAAATTAAGTAAATGCCTCCTATTTTTCTCTATTTGGTTTTACCTTTTTCACACATGGGTATTTCAGGATCCCAGGTGTTATTGGCTTTGCAACGAATCTGACTGCTGCCCTTCAAAGTAAATCCATCATCACACTTGAATGTCACACTGTCATTGTAGAAATATGGGGCTTCCTTGCCAGATATCTTGTGTCCATTTGCAATGCTGGCATATGAGCACCAAACAGCAGGGAGGGAAAGTTTACACAGAGGAGCAGGGCCACTCCATGTGCCTCTCTCTTCACTGTTGCTTATACAGTGGATGGTGTTTTCTCCAATGAGGCTGAATTCCACTCCTTTCTCAGGCCCAGGGTCACACGTATATGTGACTGTGGTTCCATACAGCATGTCTTCTGAGGAACTGCCTGTGTGTCTCCCATTGTAGATAACAGGGGGCGATGGACAGGTGATTTCTGGATGGATGAGAAGTGACTAAATAAATCTGTTTCAGTATTAGAAACCAAAGAATAGACACAGGCCTGATTATGAAACCACTGTTATCACATTTCCCGGAGGATACAGGTGAATTTTGATGATATAAGTTATGTCAAAGCTCATTAGATGTATAAAATTCAGTTTAAACAGGATTCATAGAAAGGATTTCTGTAATGGAAATCTTTGTTAAAAATGAACATGTACATCAATATCACATAGTGAGGCAGTCAAGAGCAGTAGGAAATTAGTAATTAAAATTTTGGTTTTTAATAAACAATAGGTGTATAAAAGGCACAGGAGTATATAGAGTTAAGTATGTTTGGAGTGCCATCTTTGTGTTGAGGTGATATGATAGTCAAGAATATTTATTGTTGATTGAGCATTTACTTTTTGACAGGCAATATTCTCATTTACAAAGTAGGGATACTACCACTTAATTATAATAACTTTGAAGTCTGCATTCTTGAGCTGACTTTACAGATGAGGGGCTAAAGTTTCAGAGAAGTTATATAAATCACCAAGATCATACAATGCAGTAGGTACAGAATAAGAGATCAGATCCCATACCAATCTCCTTTTTCTCTACTAAACTACGGTGTACCCCAAATTAAGCATGGTGACTCATACACTCACTGCTTTCATCATCTTATACTCCTAAATCACAAAAGAGGAGCAGCAACTGAATACATTTAAATTAAGTGGTTGCTATGCTTTGAAGTAGAGAGGGGTCACAGTGGAGAGACAGCAAAACCTGACAATGGAACAGAGTTTAATATTCTTATTCCCAAAACATAGCCTAAAACAGAAATCTCCCAGGGCATGCATAGGTCTCACATTTAATTTCTCTGTTATATATGCTATTCACCTTTACAAAGATGAATCTCCATAAACCAAGGAATCATGCCTTGACAAAGCTGATAAACACTCTCACCTAACCGGTACCTAGAGGTAGAGTCATGTCATTTTGCCATCTAGTGACCACAAAGCTAAGCAAGAGCTATTTGCGCTATAGCAGACTCACCACATTCAGGACAAGAAGCAATAGGAGCAAAAATGTAGCCAGCATCAGCTCCATCAGCCATTGCCATAGTTCCCACACATGGAAAAATAACACAATCAGCATTTCCATGAACACATGACAGAGACAGGTCTTTGCAGAAAACTCTTACACAGAGCTTGCAGTGTGCACTGAATAGCCAGCCCTAGTTCAGGTGAGCCAGCACTCACTCACCCTTCATCGCAAGAAGAATTAACATCTGGTCTAATAAATTGAGCCTGGGGTTTTCTATAGAGATGTTTTCCTATAGGTTCACACTCTGCCACTAAGGAAAAAGAGAGTAGGATGAGAAATCAACTCAAGGTAATCTCAGAATCATAAAACACAAGCATGTAAAGCCTGGCACCTTTGCATTTGGGGGCAGTGAGTGTCCACACCCCCACAGAGATACAAAGTATGGATTCTTCTCCCACCAGCACATAGCCAGGGTCACATCTATATTTTATAGATGTTCCAGGTTTGAAGAGGATTCTGTGTCTATCTTCCTTGTGCCCGTTGAGGATTTTAGGAGGAGCTTGGCACTCTAGGGGGAAGGAAGAAAAATTTTCATACATAAACAACAGCAACAAGAGGAAATAACCAAAGAAATTTACATTAATGCTATAATTTCCCTCTGGCAGCAGTTGTATGATACAGAAGGTATGTTGCAGCCCGGTTTGGGATAATTTTAGATCAGTGGTTCTGATCTTTTCCTCTTTTCTGCTCTTAGGCTGCTGCAGATTTTGTTCAATTCTCACTCAGTGCTTTACCTTCTCTCTTGTCTCTTCCTTTCTTAAGGAATCACTGTTGCATCCAGCAAACTCAAGAATGAATATTGGAGACTTTCAGGGTACCAAAGATGTTACTTTATTGGCCAAGTTTAACCTGCGCAGGGGCGAACTCTCCAAACGTGCCAGAGGCACACGGCTATTAGGAGCCACAACTGAGAGCCGCGCCCAGCGCTTACAACTACGTCCTTATATATGGGCAGGTAAGCAAGCGTTATACAGAAGCAGACGTGGCAGTTAGTAATTCGCTTACAAAGACCGCACACGGGAATTTCAAACCAAGCATTCTTTCATAAGGCGGGGAAGCTGTTTGTTCATTAACCTAGTAATCTGGCTCCAGCCAGCTAGCCTTCTATCTTCTTACTAAAAAAAAAACTACAAAGCACTGCTTATCTAGCCTTCCCTGGGGGGAGAGCGTCTGCTAGATACAGGGAGCTCTGCTTACTGTACTCTGTCTCTTTTATCATTTCTTATTTTAGCTACAATGTAGTTCTCGCCTATTAAGGTTAAACTTAGTTCTTAATTTCCTTGTTCCCAACAATCACCTTGTATGCTTTCATGATAGATTCTAATGTTTCCACGGGGTGGGGGCTTTGCTGACTTCCCTTCTAAGACACCAGTGTTAGGATAAACAAGCATTTTTATTCCCTAAAGAAATGAGCAACTTAGTGTTCCCTAATGTTATTTTCCCTAGGATACTTCTGTTGGGAACCGCCCTGACTGGTATCAGAGGCTGAAACCCCCGCCTAGCTAAGGCTAAGGGAACGCCCTTGGAACCGTAAGCCGGCAAGGAGACAAAAGCTTGTCTTCCTGGCAGGAATGCTGCTTCTGCTGCTTTATTCATGACTGAACCCCCCAAAAGCTTGGTCGGTTAGCCAAAGACGGGTAAGATTCCCCACGGGGGAACGACCTAAGCCAGGCATGATCACTTTGGGAGGCCCCCCAAAAGAAGGACTTGGGGGGCTGCAGCAAAAGGGGGTGATGGACCCTCACTCCTCGGCTTTGACAAAGTCTGAGTTCTCAGCGTCTGGAAGAAAATCTCCTTATCTCTCGGTTCCCTTAGTTCCCTTGCTCCACCTAAGCCTGAAACAATGACATGGTGGTACAGCTTGGTACTGAGAAGTGCGGATTTCCCAGGGTGATCAGGTCTAAGAAAGAACATGTAAATTACTGTGAAACCTCCTTTGTTTAGAATGCTCTCAGTTGAATGAGAAGGGTCTTAGGAGGAAGTTAGTTTGTTCCTCAGTCTTACAGCTCTTTGACCCCCAACTCAATAGACCGGCAGAGTTCTTTGTTTTCTATGGTTCCTTACTTCCCCCTAATGAGTACTGTACTTTACCTGAATTATTATGCAAAATGAGCCCAATAAAAGCAGGTATGGACTGTAAATCGGCGCGCTCCCCACTAGGAGGCGTGGCCATTTCGTCCCTACTTCCCCACAGAAACTAGTCTGTCTCTGTGCATGTGTTGTTTTTTCTCGCGTGTTTTGTTGAGCCATCCGCCGTTCCGTGGTCACTGCTGGCCGGTGACCCACGCGCAACATACTTCCACAAAATGAACCAACACTGGGGCAGTGTTAAAAAAAAGCCTTCTACATAATTCATAAACACTGTAGTATTTAGTAAAGTTGAGGGGACTAGAAACTAGAAAAGGCCATGCCTAAGTCCACAACCCATTCCTTTAATTGTTTGAAGGGATCAGTCAGTAGCACCTTTTGCTGGTATTGGAACACTCACCCTTTTCACAGACTGGTGGGGATGGCTCCCAGATGCCTTGGCCATTACATCGTATTTCCTTCCTACCTTTCAAGGTGAAGCCAAATGAGCAAGCAAATACCACAGTGTTGTTATATGAATATTGATCTTTCTGCCCAGACAGTATTTGGCCACTAAGGATCTGGGGAGGTGGACACTGAATCCCAGAAATAGAAAGTTTGCAGCATGGGGCAGGGCCACTCCAGGTCCCAGTCTGCTGACTATCATTGGTACAACGGATCGTGCTCTCCCCAGTCAGGATGAAGTCCACTCCTTCCTCTGGTCCCGGGTCACAGGTGTAAGTGACTGTGCTCCCATATGGAATGTTCATTGAAGGGTTGCCTGTATGTCTTCCATTGAGAATAGAAGGAGGTGGTGGGCAAAGAATTTCACGAGAAATTACATGTAGAAATCACAAGATTGTAGTTGAACTGCAAACAAATTCACAAACTTGATGCCAGTCTCACCTCCTATGTTCCCAGACCTAGGACACTTGAGTTTCAATAAACAATCAAGGCAGCTGTAAGAATATAATTTTAAAAATATGATCTATTCCAGGATTTCTTCTGGTCCTTTGATTTCTTTTACTGTGTATATTATCTCTTTTATGTGCATGGCCCAGCTTACAAATCTACGTAGATTTCAGAGAAAGAAAAGCGTAGGAACCCTGCCTTACTTGAATAAACAGAGAATAAGGAGTAATGAGAATAATTGAATGCTTCAGCTATAACCCTCAGAGAAGTCTAGGAGAGATACTTGCTCTCTAACAAAAAGCTTTTTGTCAGAAGAATTCAGTGTCCTCCTGAGCCTCAGACAAGGAACTAATTGCAGAGCACAGTTTGTATAACCTACCTTTACACACTGGTATCCTGGTCCATAAAGCACTCTGTCCAACAATTACACACTGACTAGAAGTTGGGCCTTCTAATCTATACCTGAAGACAGAGGGTGGTCATTCAGAATTAGTAGGCAGCCATTGATATGGGTCAATAACGTCTACTTAAAGTCCCAGGTAAGTTTATTTGATTTGTGTGCATCAACTCTTGTTAGCATTGTCTGTCACAACCTTGCCCCCAGCTCTCCGTAGATCCTCACAGAGGAGCCTTCACAGATCACCATGCACAGAGAAGCCCAAACGGTTAAGTCTCATAGACCCTCCAGACACCACCCTTCATTACAGGAAAAGCTCACAGTTACGTCAACCTGAGGATTCGGAGGCTCCTTTATCTTCCCGTTAAGTAATGGTCTTGGAGGTGCACACTGTGCCTCTGTGGAAACACGCCAAAGATGCACAAGGCATGGCACACAACAGAATAGCCTAATTTCTGAAAATTGATTGTAAAATTAGGGTACCTTCACATTTTGGAATGACAGCACTCCAGTCTCCTGAAGACAAACAATGAATGGTTTTTTCTCCAACAAGCAAGTAACCTGGTTCACAGTGGTAATTCACAGACAATCCAGGGACAAAGGGGCCAACATTGTTTCCTGGCTTTGCACTGCAATCGAATACAAGGCTTCCTTTTCCCCTGATAGTGAATATACATGTTCTGTGTTTTGTGGAAGACCTATAGTATATGAAGTAGCAGTTGTTGTCATGAAGATATATGAGAACTGACAGTAAAAGAAATATGTAATCACTTAAATCTTAATTATAAGTTATATATAAATAACAATAGCTAACATTATCTGACACTCATCATAAGCAATGCACTCTGTTAAGTTGAGGTAGGAACTACTATTACCCCTACCTTCCAGGCAAGGATAATAAAGATTAGAGATGAAGCATGTTTTCCAGGGTTTTAAAGCTAGTGAGTATGAACACAGGTCTTACTTGTGCAAATCCCATGGTCTTACATGATATACTATGCTGCCTCTTTCAGGGTTATTTAATGAGCAATTCATTTTAGATAAATGAATTGATAAATAATGCCAGCACCTTTATTTCAAGCATGCATTACTACTAGGGATTTAAGCCTGGAAGCACAAAGAGGAAATGTATGCTACCACTTTCCATTACTTCCTCGTTTCTTACTGTTTACTGTCTCATGTAAAATAGATGAGGACCTCACTTAAGACAAAAAAGAAAAGTGTGAGTCAGGAGCCAAAGTTTTCACAGGATGAGGAAAGGTAAACTTGAGATCAGTATGAGGAAGGAGAGGGTTGTACATCCAGGAGGTATGGGCTTCCAAGGAGCACTGATTCTGTGGTGAGATAAGTAATGGCCTGAAAGTTGTCTTGAATGATGAGTTATATATGGGGTGTGAGAGAATACAACCTCAATGAGTACGTAACAGTGGGGAATTACAGCAGTGGTTGAAAAAAACCATACTAATCAAGTAGCATTTATAGAATAGGCTGTATTTAAGACTCATAGAAAAGTTACGTATTAAAAATTTCCTTATGGGTCTTTTGTAGACATCAGCAGTTGCAGTTCCTGCCTGACCTAGGTATGTCCCTGACCACAAGAACTGGACAACTGTCAGCAATTTATATCAGAACCAGCAGAAATGTAGCCTGCACATCCTGCTCCTGAACATCTGCCGTAAAACTGTGGATAGAGCAATACAACTACATGATGACACACACAGGAGAAAACATTGAAAGCACCAGAGAGCAGAGCTCAGAAACTTCATGTTGCCAGAAATTCCTTTGTCTCCCTCTTTCCATGGTTCCCCTGAATGATCTAGCCAGGATGCCTGAGATGCTAAGATGGAATTGGAGGCATGAGCCTGCCATCTTCTCAGACTGTAGACTCCTGAATAAACCCCTTTCCTTCTCAACTAGAACCTGCTTCATGAGGTTGGCTTTTGTGGTAGTGGCAGCCAGACCTGTGCGTTACTTTCCCACTTTGAAGTAATGTTGAATGAATGGCAATCTAGTTGGTTCATGGTGGTTATGAGAGATTGCATACTGTTCTACAGAAGGATATAGGCTCAATATACTGAAATAGCTAAAACAAATCCAAGCACATAGAAGTGGGGATGGAAGGTTTATAAGAAAGGGATAAAAAGAAATATACTAGCTTTATAGTATATATAGTTCTGGGTACTGAATTTTCTGGTATATAGATTAAGAATTGTGCAACTAAAACTATCAATGGAACAGCTGAATGGGTTCAGGATTTTGAGTCAGATAACTGGAAATAAAAGCTTAACTCTTGACAACTTCCTACTGGTATGATTCTAAGCAAACCGCTGAATTTCTCTGAATTGGTTTTCTGTGCTTTGGGACAACATTGTTGTACTTACCTACCTCTTAGAGTTGCTTTGCATACCAAAGAAGACAATAAATGGTAAAACTATGTTAGCTGTTGCGATTTGCATCACTAATGTTGTGTACTCCACAAGTAGAGGTCAGAAATTATTAAACAAAATTATTTTGAGTGCCTATAGGTGGTCCCTGCTCACAGGGAGAACATCATCAGGGAAGGGAGATGGTGAGGAGTGTGGTGGGGACGAAAACCATTAGAGATAAATTAATAGAAGTGGGAAATTCGAAGAAGCAGGAGGAAGGAAGTGACTAGATTATTTGCAAAAAGTTCAGCTGTGGCAGTCTGCTCTTAAAAATTTACATTGGTACGTTTTGTGAAATGTTAGATCTTCAGTTTTTATAATGCTTCTTTAGGAGACTGCATTTGTTTAGAAAACTGTTCAGCTATATTTATAAGCTGTTTTTCACTGGTATAGAATTTGTTAAGCTTATATCATTGATTTCTTTGATTTTGATCTCACTGATTTTATTATTGTTAAACAAACTAATTCAAAAACTGTGTATCTTCTCTTCCCAATCAAGAATATTTCTTTATTTAGATCTTAATCCTCCCAAGGTATTTGTAAATTTAAAGGTAAATGGTGTTTAAAAGAGAGTTTATTTATTTACTTTTAGAGGGAGAGATTAGAGGGAGAAAGAGAGGGAGCGAAATAGTGATGCAAGACAGAAACATCTAAAGTTGTGTTTTGTATGCCCCTAACAGGGGTTTGAACCCAAAACCCAGGCATGTGGCCTGAGTGGGAATTGAACTGGTGACCTTTCACTTTGGGGAATGATGCCCAACCAACTGAGCTACACCAGCCAGGGCTAAAAGGTAAATGGTTGTAATAAAATATTTATTTTTTTATATAACCAATGCAATACCTTGATCCTTCCAGACTGGCAGCCTGAGATGTGTATACCATTGGGGCACACTCTCTGACTGTTAGCTCCCTGATAGGGTCTGTGCGCTGAGGCAGGACATTTGCTGAAATGTCTCAGCATAAGTGGGACACCAGCTGCCTCATTGACATCTTTGGGAAAATTCCTTCTACCATTTTCTCTTATCTAAAACTCGAGTCCATCTTAAAATTCTAACCTTTTAAAAGGAGTGTTCTTAATATGGTATATATTAGTATGAATACTTCTCTTTGCATAATGTGCTTCAAAGGCCTTCTTTATAAAAATTACTACATCTGTTTTATGATGTAGTAATTTGTTTATGATGTTCCAATTTGTTTATGTAGTGCTTTTATCTGAGGTTTTCATTTACTTCTCTTTGGCTCCCAAGAGGAGGCAAGTATAGTAAGAAACATTTTCTATGAGAATATGGCTATACTGACCCTTTTTTGCATGTTAGAATCATCCAGCAGGAAACAATGATGAGTACAATAAAGAAGATCATACCAAAGGATGTGCCTAGGCAGTAAAACAAGGCGATTAAATGCATGGAAAACACAATCTATACATTTTCAACTCTATCTTAATAACTAGTCTCTCTAGAGGTTGCCAATGATTTTTTAAAAAATGCAACTAAATTCTGGTTTAACAAACACTGACACAGGCTTACCTTTAAGATTCCCCTTTTGCTTCTTGTTTAATCAAGGACATTAGTGTAACAAACACAGGATTATATGTAAGGAGTGAGCAGAGCAGTGTTGTAACCTTCAGTCCAACAGCAACCATTCAACAAGTATGTGAGAACAGTCCTGGTGCTCCTGGGCTCCAGCTCTCCAGGGCCCTGCACATGTCTCTTGTATAAGGCCTGAGGCAAGAACTATTATATACCACAGACTCTAGCAACTCCCTCTGAAGGAAACTATCATGACTCTTCCTCTCACATACACAGATTACAGAAATGGGCTTAGAAAACTGGTCTTTGTGGTTTCCAGTTTGTGCAAGTGGGCACGACTATCATCCCAAACAATATTCCCAGGTTGTATTCTCCATCTACAATAAAATGATATGAATGACTGGTCATTTGTAATGGTTCACAGATAGTATAGAGCTTTTGTAGAGAACACTCACTCTATACGCATGTGAGGATGCCAGTTCTGTCACACATGGCCTGAGTTTATCACTATTTCCTTTCTGAATGAAATCGAAATGAAAGATATTTTGATCTCTCTTTTTACATTTCATTCATTGTAAGTGGGTACTTAATATACTGACTGTTAGAGATGCTAGAGTTTCTCAACAAACTCTTTATAAAACTTACCAATAATGAGAGTGCCACGTGAGCCTAAAAAGAAGACAAAGGTCACAAATGCATCAGTCTCACATTCCACAGGAGCCCTCAGCCAGGGACAGTCTATCCTAAGTTTTGTCATTACACAGTCTCATTTTGTTCTAATATATAAAAAACAAAACAAAACACTGGTTTTACTCAGTTTCATTTATCTTGTATATTCAGGATCTGTGTTTTTTTTTCAACTTAATATTTTTAACATTGAATTAGTAGAACTACAACCAAAATGTATAAAATAGAGCAAAAGAAAAACATCATATAATGCTACTACCATTAAATGTGTTGGTACATTCCCTCCTGGTATATGCTCCAATGCATGTAGGCTTTTACATATTTGTAGAATCTCTTTATCTAACCTTTGAACAGTGGAATTAAGCACTTGTGGGGGGAGCTTTGTCCAGCAGAGCCCCCCTTTCCTTTCCTTTTTAATTCCTTCCTTAAAGACCATCTGTGGCTTATTTGACCTTTCTACAACATATGCAATCCACATAACATTTCAAAATAAGCATAATAAGTCTTTTAAATCTTAAGCCTGATTATATTTCCAAACGTTTGACTTAAGGAGTATATTATGAAATGAATAGGGGGATAGTGAGTAACATGTGTTTGCCAAATTATTTGAGGTTGCAACCCTCTGGGTTTAATACCCAGAGCAGGGTGATTTCCATTCCCCACTAGGTGAGGAGGTCCCTGGGCCAGATATTAAGTGGGGTGGGAATAGATATAAGGCTGAATGCTTCCAACTTGAGCATCCAGACCAAACCATGGGGAGAGTGACAGATAGAAAAATAGTAGGATAGTAGGAACCCCTTTTTCAAAGCCAAGTATGCTGGCAGCCTCCTAAAGCATGGGCTGCTTTTACCTCAGGGATGACCTGGATGGAACTCCCCTTCGTGACCTGCTGTCTGCACCAGTTCTTAGTTGGCTGCCAGGTGCTGCATGGAACGATGGCCCTGGGGCAGATCCTGTGGGTCAGTAACTGTGCCCAGAGCTGGGTGTGGGGGAAGGTTGCTCCTGCATGCATGGGGAGGAGGGGTGGCAAGGGGGACCAACCCCCATTCCACCACTCTCTGTCCTTGGCAGAGACCTGGCCCTGCATATGCTGTGAGCTTAA